GGGACACAGGACAGGAGAGTTATGAAAACATGGACTCACTGGGTAGGGACATTGTTGTTGTTGTTGTTGTTGGTTGTGGGGGCTTGAACTCTGGGTCTGGGCGCTGTCCCTCAGCTCTTCAGCTCAAGGTTAGCACTCTACCACTTGAGCCACAGTACCACTTCAGTTTTCTAGTGGTTTACTAAGTCTCATGAACTTTTCTGCCCAGGCTGGCTTTGAACTGTGATCCTCAGATCTCAGCCTCCTGAGTAGCTAGGATTACAGGCGTGAGCCACTGGCACCTGGCTTATAAGAACGTTTTTTGTCAGAGTTGATAACTGCCATTTCTGACCAGAGCCCTGTGGCTTGGCTTGGACTCTGACCTCCCAGCGATAAGCTGAGTTTTCCCAAGAAATTAACCACAGTAGATTCTACTCTGTTAGTTTAAAGTTATCCACATGAGGTCAGTTAAATATCTTCCCAGGGGAACAGTTGATACATTGCACACAGCCCTATACTTAAACTCTAGCTTCTAGATCCTTAGGCAGAGTCTGAACTATATTGGATTTCAAAGAGCAACTGAAGATCTGTGACCTCTTGCCTACACACATACTTGGTTTTCCAGGATTGTCTTTTTTTTTTTGGGGGGTCCGGTCATGGGACCTGAACTCTGGGCCTGGGCACTGTCCCTCAGCTCTTCAGCTCAAGGCTAGCGCTCTACCACTTGAGCCACAGTGCCACTTCCGGCTTTTTTCTTTTTGCTTATGTGGTGCTGAAGAATCGAACCCAGGGCCTCATGCATGCAAGGCAAATGCTCTACCACTGAGCCACCTTCCCAGCCCTCTAGGATTGTCTTTTATCTCCAGTTAACCACCATAAAAATCTGGAAGTGGAGTGGTGGCTTATGTGGCCGATTGCTAGCCTTAAGCAGAAAAGCTCAGGGATAGCTCCCAGGCCCTGAGTTGAAGCCTCAAGCTCAGCACAAAAAAATAAAAAAGATGCTGTCAAATAGGAAAAAGTGATAGGTACATTTAGGTGGAAAGTAGACAGGACAGCTTTTATGATTATATGAAAATTCCCAGGAAGTTGAGGGAAGTCTTAAAACGAGGTTTTGAGTATAGTATGACTGAGTATGTTGAAACATATATCAATCAAAGGTTATACTGCAATTTGTTTTCATTAGGTTCATATAAAGACAATCACAGCCATGAACTTATTTTCATTAATTCTGCACAGCAGTTAACGCTGGCTTTTGTTTCCCTTAATAGGGACCACTTCCAGGTTTTCTCTCAAATCCCAATGCTTTGTAGTTGTTAACCAAAAACAAACTCAATTTCTTTAGCGGTAATCATTGGGAATAGTTTAGTGTATATTTTAAATAATTTGTTTCAGACTTACCAAGAATTCTGTTCCTACCCCTTGAGTACAGAGAACAAGGCTCTGTTCCCCTTGCCGGATAAAAGAGACCAGTTGATAGAGCAATCTGTTTCTTTTATTGTGGACAGAGGCGTGCATTCCCAATCAGGAGGCTTTGAGCACTCAAATGGAACAAGATGGAAAACCATGGGATCCCAGCATCCAGGGTTGCAAGGAAGGCATGAGTTCCCGAAGCCCAACTCCAGGTAAAGAATGAGAAGGGACAACTGCCCAGCAAGTTGGAGTGTAAGGGTTTTGAGGAGTTGGGTACGGGCCCAATGCACCATCTCTGCTATGAAGATGCATGGCTTCTGTGTCTCCCCTACCCACTTTCCATCCCATGAGGAACCCAAGGTTCAAACTTGGAGGAGGCACTTACTCTTGGGTTCAGAGTAGCTGGAGGCACAGTTGGAAAGGGGTTGGAAGCTCTAAGAAGGAAATTCTAAAACTAGACCAAGTTTGATTCCTTGAGCAGTAGCCCCACCCCTTATCCATGTGCTTCTGTGGAGTGCTTTATGTAGAAGGAGTGGAAAACTGAAGTATGTCTATCCTGTTAGGGCCTCTGACCTGAAAGGCATGTAGGATTTTCTTTTCTCCAAAGTAGAAATCATGTAGAAGTTTGTGTTTTCTCTCTAGCAGGGGAAGAGAAGTTTGAGGATCCAGATGTAAGTGCTCAGTCTGTTTGTCCTGAAAACACCCACTCCCAGGCACTCCTCCCTGGCCAGGCCCGAGGAGAGATGCCCTGGGGAAGATCTCTGGACAGGGCTGAAGGGCATTGGGACTCTCCCCTAGAGGACAGAATGGAACAGTCCTTAGTGGGAGCCACAAGTTGCAGAGGCCTGGGACAAACAAAAGAACTGCAGCCAAAGAAACTCCATTTGTGTCCCTTATGTGGCAAAAATTTCTCTAACAACTCAAACCTAATCAGGCATCAGAGAATACATGCAGCAGAAAGACTGTGCATGGATGTGGAGTGCGGTGAAATCTTTGGTGGGCACCCACATTTTCTGTCACTACACAGAGGACACCTGGGAGAGGAGGCTCATAAGTGCCTTGAATGTGGAAAGTGCTTTAGTCAGAACACCCACCTGACTCGCCACCAGCGCACCCACACAGGTGAGAAGCCGTATCAGTGCAATGTGTGTGGAAAAAGCTTCTCCTGCAACTCCAACCTTCACAGGCACCAGAGGACACACACTGGGGAAAAGCCGTACAAGTGTCTCGAGTGTGGGGAGATCTTTGCCCACAGCTCCAACCTCCTGCGCCACCAAAGGATCCACACTGGAGAAAGGCCTTATAAGTGTGCTGAGTGTGGGAAAAGTTTCTCTCGGAGTTCCCACCTTGTCATTCATGAAAGAACCCATGAGAAAGAGAGACTTGACCCCTTCTCTGAGTGTGGAGAGGGCATGAGGAACGACAGCGCCCCCTTTCTTGCAAACCATGCACCCCACAGAGTGGAGAAGAAACTTTTTGAATGCTTGACTTGTGGGAAAAGCTTCCGGCAGGGTATGCACCTTACCAGACACCAGAGAACCCACACAGGAGAGAAACCATATAAATGTACCCTCTGTGGGGAAAACTTCTCTCACAGATCCAATCTAATCAGGCATCAGAGAATTCACACAGGAGAAAAACCCTATACCTGTCACGAATGTGGAGACAGTTTCTCACACAGCTCCAACCGGATTCGTCACTTGAGAACACACACAGGAGAGAGACCATACAAGTGTACTGAGTGTGGAGAAAACTTCTCTCGGAGTTCACGTCTTATGAGTCATCAGAGAACTCACACTGGTTAGAAACAATGGGATATCTATCCCTTTGCCCTAGATTAGATGGCATATTCAGAGGGCTCTTTTATTAAGAGCTGACATTGTTTGCCCAGGTAATTAATGAGGTAATTCGGGCTTCTTTTGAAAGAGTGCAGAGGCAGCACAAAGGATTATCACAAAAAGGAGTTCAGGCTGCAATAGCAAGTGTGTGAGATTTGAAGTGAACTGCTTAGGGCCACTTTGAAGTCCAAAGTACAGCCACCTTCTGGGGGATTTAACCAAGGTATGGTTTGGGTATCTTATGGTGTTCAATGCTTATTCCAACAGTCTTGGTAATCCATATCTTCTTCCTCATTTGGGACGTTAAACCAGAGCATTTGGACTCCCTAAGGCTCTATAGAGACCAAAGTCTGGTAAACTAGCTCAAGACCAAGATGATTAGTTCTCAATGGCAGTTCTCTTTAAGGATCCAACTGGAAAGCCATTTGTGGGGTCTTGGGAAAGTGTGCTTTCCAGCTGGTTGGATAATCAGCCACCATAGCCCCCCAGTGGCTGACAGAAGTGCTCTACACGGTTGTCACACGTGTGTGACCTCAAACAAGAAGGAACCAGAGACCTAAGAGAAACTGTAAACTAGAACTTGCAGGCGAGCCTAGGAGTTGACAGATGAAATGTATGTGTAGTCTACCCGTGCAGAGACAGATCTCTCACTTGTGTCCAAAAAATCTGAATCTTGTTCCTGGGTGGAGGGTTCCATTAAAGATGGATTCCCTGGGAAATATTTAAACTATGAATCCTAGAAAACTTGAGAGGTCTTTTCCTTGTTGAAAATGTTTGGCTAGTAATAAACATCTCTAGGAAACGTGTGTGTGCATCTTCATGGCTGGGTGGCAGGGCTCGGGGCTGCCCCCCTCTGCACCACTACCTCATAAAGGAAAATGTCTTTTAAACAGAAGCGCGTACCCCGTCGGGGGGCGCACTGTGGACGGGGGGGGCGCACTGTGGACGGGGGGGCGCACTGTGGACGGGGGGCGCACTGTGGACGGGGGGGGCGCACTGTGGACGGGGGGGCGCACTGTGGACGGGGGGGTATGGGGGGGCAGCGCAGGCCCCCCACTCACTCTGAGCAGCGGCCTGGGGCGGCCCGTGCGGCGCGGGCAACCTGTCCACGGGGGAAGCCACGCTCGCGTGGAAACGAGAGGATCGGGAGGAAAGCGCGCTTTCCCGGAGGAGGAGGAGGCCGCCGGCGAGCGACGCCGCCAGAGCGAGGACCGCGGCGTGGCGGCCGCAGGGCCCCTCTAGGCTTCGGCGGGCTCGGAGACTCGGTGGTGTACAGTCCCCCGCCCGCCAGGCAGTGTGCGGGGTGGGGGTGGGGGGGAAGCCGAGGGCGGGCGCGCGGACGGGCGGCGCTCTGGGCAGGTGGCGTGACGTCACTTCCGGCCGGCTGCGCGCGGGCTGCAAGGCGACCCCGAGGCCGCGAGCGTTCGCGGTCGGCCGTGAAGATCTGTGACCTCTTGCCTACACACATACTTGGTTTTCCAGGATTGTCTTTTTTTTTTTGGGGGGTCCGGTCATGGGACCTGAACTCTGGG